TTTCTCAGAAAGGCCAAAACTGCTAACAATCATCTCCATCACAAAGGCATATGAGGAAGATGAGGCTACTCATCACTATCTTACCTGGCACAAGATATCTTTGATGAATCCTCCACATAGTTTTTGGGCTTGGGGATCAATGTAATCCATGATGTCCCAGTATTTGGCAGCAATGTGGTTGTCCTTCTCTTGCTCACAACAGCCAAATGTTTCATAGGCAGAGCAAAACTCCAGATGGAATGGAGGCTGGAAAGGAGGACCATAATCCAGGCACTGGGGATGGCCCAGGACAACTGCAGCATGGTGTAAAAGTAGTATGGAGATGCAAATGAGGAAATAAGTTGCACAAAGAGAAATCCTGGAACTGTGGAGGCTTAAAGTAGTTTTCTCCCTTGGAGGTTTCCTGGGGTCATTTGAATCTGATATGTGTCCATCTGGAAAATGGGGTTTATTCATCTTCTAAGCTGTGATTCATCAGCATAGAGCCCAATGTTTGCTTAGGTTTGTTTTCCAGGCATGCAGGCATATACCCTAACCCCTCCCTGTCTCATTAAGTTTGCTAATAGTGAGCTGAGAAGCAACTTTCCAGTCCGCCTCCTTGCAGTTCCACGCCTCCCTCCTTCCTTTTTCACAAAGTTATCTGTTCCCTTGAACACCATAGATTTCATCCAAGAACACATCCAAATAGAGATCGATAAGAGGCAAATAGGCAGACAGAGTGAAGAATGACAGCTGCTGCAGCCTTATGGGAAAATCTGGTCTACGGTTACAGGGGAGAGAAAGGATCTGTTTTTTCCAGTTCCAAATGATTCCCAAACTTCAGCCAAATAGCTCAGAAGGAAGATGAATCATGTTCATCAGTTACGTTCCCATTCCAATTTATTTCAGCTTAGCCATACTGAATTCTAAAGAAACACAATTCCCCCTCCACATCTGACCCTAAGCATATTGAAACAAAAATAGGATTTTTAATCATAGGTAATTTAAAGGAATTGCTTCTCACTGCAACACTTTTGGAATAACACTACTTCAATATATTTCAACCTCACAATAATATATTTTAAATGGTTGAGAGGAACAGATTCCATACACACACACACACACACACACACACACACACACACACACACACACACACACACACACACAGTGTACACACTTTGTATGCTAGAGATGCTCGCCAACCAAGGGAACCACAGGATTTTTTTCTCCTGAGCTATGGCATCACATGAACAGAAGGTCATGTTGTCCCTACTGACCTAGCAGTATCTGGTTTTTGTCTGATTTTAGAAAATTGTTGTCTTTGGAAATACTGGTTGTACTATATCTTCTGTATATAAAGTGCATGCTCTGCTACTGAGCTCTGATCCTGGCTAAATTAGCAGTTCAACAATTCTGTACATGCAGACTGAAATGTTATCTAATTGTGATCGCTGTGAGAAGGTGCAAGACTGAGCATGATCTCAAATTAATAATTAACTGGAAGCTAATTACTTTTCTCCCCCAAATTTACATCAGTTATAAATCTTCGGTCATTTTTATTTCATCAACTTTTTATTCTGCTTTATTGGACTGTTATATTTGCTATATTTTACTTTAGGTTTTTTATTCTCGGGGCTATTTTTTTGTTACTTTTGATTGGATTTACACATTATAAACTCCATGTGCTTTGTGAATCCAGTAGACAGGTCAAGAAAGAGCCAGCTGTAACTCAAAACTGTATAGGCTAATTGTGAATCAAACTACCCTTCCTTATTAGCCTTCTGTGAACCCAAAACGCCACTCAATCATATGGCAATATTCAAGTTCTACCAAGTCAGTCCTTCAATGGAACTTCATAGATGTGAGGAACAATAATTTAAAAATCTAGCTACCATAGTCTGCAAGCTACAGAAATGGAATCCCAAGCACCACCATTATGAAAAACGCTGGTCAAAGTTATTCTTTGTGTCCATTACATTTTTCCAATACACTAAAGCAATATTGTAATAATGCCCTTGCCTGATGGCCACAAGACAACAGGAGTCATGTACAGTCAAGAAGCAATCTGGCAAAGTTAGGCTTCTCCAACCTCTTCAGCATCCAATGCAGATATCAAGTAAGCTGCAGAAAAGGGAAAGAACTTTGCAGCTTGTTTAAAAATGACGGGAGTTACTGGAAATGGGCTGAAGTTACTGGAAGTGGCTGAAGGCAGTTCAGTTCTACCATTACCCAATAGGTTTGTTGTGAGAATTATAACTGATGTGGATTCATCCACAAAGCTATAATATAAGAAATATACATTGGCCAATAGCAATGAAGGCTGATGTCATCCTTCTGTAGCAGCTGTCTTGTTCATTTTTATGTTTTTCATCACTCACTGAAGGGCAGGAGAAACTGCCTTGTCCGAGTCTAGACATTCTCTGCTGGATGTCTTTGTGAGTTCCTTGTCTAGTCACACATCAAATATACGGTTCCAAGGACTTCTAGAGGTTGGGCTGGATGGATTAATACTATTTTAAAACATAACATAGATCCATATCCATGATGTTCCTTCCTTTCAGGCTATCCTTATGCAGAATGTTTTTTTAAAACCTGTTCTTTATTGTTTCAAACCAGCTTAGTTTCAATTCTCTAAAATATAAATAAATGTATGGATTGATAATCAAGACACCTTCATTAATTTTCAATTTACAAGCTCTTTACTAAAACAAAGATAGTGCATACAGTATCTTGGGGTTGTAAATCAAACTGAATGCAAAATTCAGATTTCTGCAAAATTTATCTTCAAACACACCATTAGTCTTATTGAGATTTGATAGGAGCCTTGAGGGGACAGCCTACTGAAATTTGAGGAACTAGGTACACTAGATAGCTAGAAAGCATATGGGATTGCTCTGAGATCTTCTCTGGTCTATTTTGGTCCTCCAAATCTCAAGATATCCCATTAGTGATTCTCAATAGAGTTATACTTCTCCCTGCAAGAGATGTGGGCAATCGGGAAATCATCTTGGCTTATCAACTCCTGTTCATAGAGCAGGTGGAAGCTGAAACCAAGAGGCCCTTTACATAAGTTTGTGCAAAAGTGCACCTTTCCAGAACAAGGAGGTCTTTCTATCATTCATGTTCTAGTTACCTCACAATTGGATTACTGTAATGTGCTGCACATGGGCTGCAGCTAGTCCAGAATGTTGTAGCATAGGCAGCAATGGGGGCTGTTATTAATCTACTTTATCAAGCTGCTTTGTAAGTAGTGTTGCCATTCAGCTTCCAGTTGCAATTCCAGATGTCGGTTATCACCTTTAATGACTTTCATACTTAAGGGCCTTGCTATCTGAAGGATTTCTTATCTCTTGTTATCTTTGCCCATTGGCTTTGATCCAACAGGGTGGGTGAGCTCCAGATCTCATTAAAGAGTATCAACTTGTGGGACCCAAGATACGTGCCTAGTCTTTTGCAATTCCTGTCCTCTGGAATGTGGTCACTATCCCTCTCCCAACCCCTGAATGATTCTGGGTCTGATCATTTTTCCAGGCTTTGGGGACAAGGTGATTTTAGACCCGCTTTCTGGTTTTGTTTTGCTTTGGTTTTCTTTTGTTTTGAACTTTGCTGTTCTGATCTGTTATATTTTTCTTTTAATAAGTTGATCTTTACTTGTAAGCTACCCAAAGCCATTTGGCAGCCAATAATAATAAAATTAAATTAAGTGTTATTCCTACGGTTTTAAGATAGGATATTCAGAAAATAAATAAGTCAAAGATATCAATAAAAAGGTGACTAACGTTGCTAAAATTTGGAACTTACCAAAGCGCAATGTTGGACTTATCCTACATGAGAGCAGCTAAGATTTTTTTTTTGCTTCAATGGGAAAACTGTGGTGTAGTATACTTGAGTTAAAATACTAGATGGAATAGCAGCTACCAACTGATTTTTTTCTATCACCATGAGAAAACTGAACAATTTTCCATGTGATCAAGGTTTAATTTCTTTTTGAAGAAACTTTATTTCCATGGTCTAATAACTCTTAACTTATTAACTATACTTTTAAATTTTAACCTTAGTTATTTTCCAGTTCATTTATTTTTGCATTCTTATGCATTAAAGTGCAGGTAACTTTGAAAACATAAGTCATTCATACCATAAAATGGGCAGAGGTAGTCTATCCCATTTGTCACTCTATAAATTTTACTAAGTGACAAAGTTCTGTAGGCTATAAAGAGGTGGATCAGGCCAACAATTGGGAACTTTTTTTAGTTTTTCTAATTACAGTTGATACAGAACATGATTTTTAAAACAAAAATATGAGTGACTTACCTGTGTAGTTATTTAAGGAACTAACGTCACCTCTTTCCAAGAAGTCTAGCCCTGCCCACCTCTTGAGCTCGGTCCCTCATATACCAGAACAAGCTAGCCATGAACCAGGAAGCCTTCAGAAATATATGCTTTCAGGATGCATCCAATAATACCATGTTCCTGTTCAAATATTATATATGGCCACTTAACCACATCCATATTTTACCTATTTTGAGTTGTGTGCCACAAGATGGGTAGGCATATAAACATTTTAACTGAATAAAAAGTTTCAAGTGTTCTACTGTATATGCAACTTTGGAAATGTAAATTATTGTGTTTATTTTCTCTATTTTTATTTTAACACTAGCCAATAACCCAGCGTTGCATGGGTATTTATTTATAGGGGGGAAATGTCCGGACCAAATGTAATTTCTAATGTTGTATTTTTCCCCTTACCAGAGGGAGCCCCCTTGTGGAGCACTGTGAAGCCGTTACCATGACAGCTCCACAGTGCTGTACAGTAGAAGCCATTTTGAAGCTGTATCTTAATAGAACACACACCCCGAGGGATTTTAGAGATGTCTTAACCCCACAGTATTTTTCTCCAGAGGGTAAATCATCTGTGTACCAGGTTTGGTTGAAATTGCTTGAGGCGTTCCAGAGTTATGCTAGAACACACACACACATTTTTATATATGTAGATAAACATAAATAAACAAATAAAAAAGTATATTGATACAAAAAGTTTTTTTATAGAAACTTTGTAAAAAAAATACAATTCTTATACATACAATAGACATACAAGCCGTCTTCAAACTATGTCCGTAATGGAGCCTGCCCATTATGGTCACAAATGGGGATGGCCCTTAAACTAAACAACCTTGCTTAACAACCCCCCATCCCTGCTCTCTCTGATGCTGTTAAACGTATGTGTGCGTTGTTAAGTGGAGCAGACCAGCAGCAAAAAGTTTTGCAAAGCCAAAACAGCTCAGCAGGGGGGAACAATCCAGCTAGATTAGGGCCCAACACCACATTCTAATGCCAGAGAAGCTTCCATACAAGCCTCTGTGCATGGATGATAAAGCCATACTGGTGGGCTAAGCCTCTACTCCAATCAGCTGGCCGTGGGATACTGCAAACCTCTCCTGGCTGTTGCTAGGCTTTGAGGAAGCCATCCACCTGCATACATTGGAGGCAGCTTCCGGATGATCTTCCACAAATCTTTCCCTTGCTTAACTCTCTCCCTTTCCTCTGAAGCCCACATTTCTTCAATTTTTAAAAAATAAAACAGAAAAAAGTGAGAGTTAAAAGGCCTTCCCCCAATTAGGTGATGAACCTAGAATCAGACAAGTAGCAACAGCTTTCCAAAAGGTTTCCAAGATTTTCCCTGCTAGTCCGATTTCCAGCTAGGACTCCTGGAAAGGGAGTCAGAAATGCAGCAAAAAAGCTTTCCAATGACCCAGCTTCTGCTGTGGCTGGCCATTTGTTACACCTGTTGTGCTCTAAATGCCTGAACCTTTTGAGCTGAGCTCCAGATTTTCTTTGCTCACTTCCTTCCTTAACTCTGTTCTTCAGCCCGGCAATCACTCATCAAGGTAAGGTGGCAGTAAATTTAGCAAATGAAATGGGTTAAAAGATCAAGATTGAAATGCAGAGGCAGAGATTTTAGTTTCAGCACCTAATGGAAGGGGGAAGAAATATAACAAGTCTGTCTCTCTTGCTTTCTTTGTTTTATTGAACAAATGTGGGTTTCTGGAGGGACGGAGGGAATTAAGCAAGGGAACAGTTTTGGGAAGATAATCCTAAAGCTTCCACTTTTGCATTCAGGCAGCTGGCATCGCCAAAGCTTAGCAAGAGCCAGAAGAGCTTTGCAGTATCCCAACAATCAGCTGATCAGGACAGAATGCTCTGAAAGCAGCTGCCATTTCCACAAGGAACTGTCAATATATGGAAAATGGCAGGTGCTTCCAGGAGGCATGGGGAGTAGATCAAGCACTATGGGGTGCCAGTGGGGCAGGCCAAAGGGGGAGCATTCCTGTGGCCAGTTGTAAGGCATGCTGCAGCAGCCATATTTCAAAATGGGATCATATGTAGCTTGGGGGGTGGGTGGGTTGTAACATCAAACAGCCATTAGGTGACCAGTCAGATCTCAAGAACTACCTGAATTTTACAACAATTGTTTGTCAGGATGACTTGTTTTATACAGGACATCAAAATCATCTAACACCCTTGAAAAATCAAGAGATTTGATACTAAGCAATCACGTATCAGCCAATCTTAAACCGACCCAGCTGTGTTCTTTCACAAATTTCTTCAACTGTCGGAATTTCTTCTTCTGAACTTTACAACCTTCTTTGGAGACATATTTAAAGTACTTGCAGTCTAAAAGTATACAAAAATGAAATGGCATTAGAACAAATGTGACACAACAATGGTATTAAACTAACTTGTGACCCAAGTAGGGCTCTTCTAAACATAATACTGTATTTTTGGAGTAGAAGACGCACCTTTTCCCCCTTAAAAGAGCAAGAATATGTTGATGTGTCTTATACACCGAATACAGCCATTTTTGGTCTCCTAAAGCTCTGCCCCTACTTCCCATTTTTGCAAAAAACGGGCAAAAAAGGGCCATTTTTCACCAAAACAGGGTGTTTTTTTTCTTTCCCCATCCCCCCAGAAGCACTCTGCAGGCTTCAGCACGGCTGAGGGAAGGGAAAAATGCCCGTTTCGGTGAAAAACAGGGGCTTTTTTGCCTTTCCCCAGCCCTGCTAAATCCTGCAGAGTGCACCTGGGGGCCAGGGAGGACAAAAAAAAATTTCTTACTTACCTCTTCAAAATCTTGGTGCGTCTTATAGTCCAAAAATATGGTAAGTCAATTAAACAGGACACATTTTCTTAGCTTTATAACAAAGAGTATATACACTGGTTTCAGACTATATTTTAGATTTTATTTCATTAACTGAAATATAACCTGGTTGAGTCTTTGAGGGAACTGATTTGCACAAGTACACGATGGTAATTGTGATTCAGGGAAGTTATTTCCTATCATTGATTCTACCTATGTGGCTTCCCATGGACCAAGGGAAGTGTCCTGATTTTAGGAACTCCAGGAGATGAAACATCAGAAGAGATACTTGGAGATGCACAGCAAATCCCAAAACACAGGTTTTATTTGTGACAAGAAAAGCAGCCAAATGTAACTATTTTTCTGCTCTTACTGCCTCTGTTCAAAGTGACCTGATCCCTCCTGGGGAGGGAAAGACCAGAGAAATATCTGCAAGGCCACCTTGAGGACCACTTGAGGCGTCTTTCATATAAAGTCATTTGGATCTGCTCTGAGCTAGATCCAGTTGGGTAGGTCCTCTGAAGTGGACTGAAGCATAGTTTTTGGCTCAATTCTCTGGGGACAACTTGCACCTGATGGTCCTGAGACATTACCAAGAGCTATTTAAGCATGGTCATCTCTCCATTAAATCAACCTGATTTTCATTCTGCCTCCAACTTTTCCTTTTAGGGAAAGCTATTGAGGTGTTCGTTGGGATGCAGCTTCACAAAGCTCTGGAGGGATATGAATTATCAGACACCAGAATTAGTGTAAAATTTGCCAAGATTTTTGGAGTTTTGGTTCTTGCTTGAACAGCAAGTAGCAGCACTGGTGCAGACGGCCTTTGCACAACTCCATCTTGTGTGCCAATTGTACTTGTGATAACCTAGCTTATGGTCAGTGACTCCTTAGCCACATCCCAGTTAGATTGCTGCAATATGTTTTATATGAGGTTTCCCTTGAAGACTATTCAGAAGCACAACTGGTTGGAATACAGTGGCCCAGGTAGTTATGATGCCCGTGTACCACTGCTACTTCAATATTAGCACTAGTTTTCACTTCTCATCTGGATGTAACTCAGTGCACTGACAATCACCTATAAAGCTCATCGTGGCATAGTCATGGACTATGCACACTTTATGGAGAAAGAGGAAATGTTTTTTAAATACTATTTAAATAGTATTTGAAATCATCATTAACATATAGGGATAGAAAACCTTACCTTTTCCCAATAGTATGCCAGCTATCAGAACTTTTTCACAAGTGAGTTTTTTGTTTTCCTGCCAGTTTCTTTTTGCCAAGTAAAGACTGAAATGAAAAGCTGGCCACCAGTGCTTTCGAATATCCCACTCCTTTTTGAGCCAGTGAAATTGCTTATCAGAGCTGAAAAACATTCAAAGAAAACCCAGGAATATCTGAATTAGGTCTAAATCCGAATAGACATACCTCAAAAATTGGTAGGGGAATTTTATACTTTATTATAGGTAGTCCTAATTAACTAATGCATACTAAGAAGATTGCTAAATTTTCTTGAACATTTTCAATTCTGGGTTCCAGATTCTATTTTTTTTTAAAGAATGTCTTATTTCCATATGAAATGATCCCCTTTCATGCAGAGGACTAGAATCTTTCCCTAAGAAAATTAAAGCACATTAGATTTTTACAATACATATTGCACACATATTTATATAGATGTAATCACATTGCAAGACCTGATAGACTTACTTTTGCAGAATTTCTACAGTCTGTTTTGCCAAATAACTCCAAGCTTTTACATTTTCCTTCCATACAGCAAAATCCAGGACTGCAAAAATAACTTTCAGCTGTAATTTATGTTTTTTTCTTTTTTCTGAAATTAGAATAGATCCCATTATTTTTATAGTTGTCTAACATATGCAAAAGAGGCAAAAGTTCTCATTATTAGTTGGTGAGGATTTTCTTTTTTTTAATTTCTGAAACCAAAGACAAAATTCAGTAACAGCTGCAGTAGTAGCAACCAATTGTAGTGGATATAATCTCCTCAATTTGCAATGGTAAGATACTATACATGAACCTTCCCCAACCAAACACCATGCTGAAGTCAGCCATTAATTCATAGCTTTTAACTATGCTAGTTGGAAATTATAGGAGACTGAAAAGAACTCAATATAAAGTGAATTAAAAATTATGTGATAAAAACTATTTTTTTTTAATTAGCTTAAAAAGCCAACGATATATATTATTCAAAGATAGCAAGCCACAGCTAAAACAAGCCCTGTCCTTTGCTGGATATTAATAGTGGGCCAGAAACAGAGGGGCCCATCACAAGATATGGGCAGATTCACAGGAGTACAGGGGATTAAAAAAAATAATATAACAAGCCTTTAAATATGAAAACCAGTAAAATAAATTGAGCCAGGAAAGAAAGGACAAAGTAATTAACACAGTATCAAAATAATGTAATCAGTGTGCTTCGCTTTCCCGAGCATCTAGGCACTATCATCTATAGTGATGTCTTCAAAGCAAAAACACAAAAAGCCTTACGATAGTTTAGTCAGGCTTTAACCAGTGCAGGTAGAACAAGGTTGTTCTGCTTTCCTTTGGGTGATAAGTCCAAGATAGCAAAAAGCACTCTTGGTTGTAAACTTTTATTTGCATTAGGATTTGCTTGACACTTTTTCTGTTAATTATGGCTCAAGGGAGGAATGGAGCAACTAATCCTTGTGTAATATTGGAATAACCTTTAAAGGACTCACTCGATTTTTTAAGCAGGTTGTAAAATTCCAGCATTAGTTCATGGGAAGGAACAAGCTCATGCAGGATCTAGGAAGAAAAAGGGAAATGGGTGAATTTTGGAAAGTGAAATCAGGCACTTTTACATCTCAATGGTTTTAAAGAAGATACCCTCAGAAGTTTATACCAGAGGACAGGATTGGACTGCCAGTTTCACCTCAGAGTCGAGGCGTTTTACAGATAGTCCTCAACTTACCACCAGTTCTTAACAACTGTTTGAAGACTTCAAAAATTCTATTTACACCCCATCCTCAAAGTTATGATGGCCAAACACACACTCAAGTCAAATTATTTCATTTTGGGGACATGGTGAGATGATGAAATTGTATTTATGACTGGTGCAGCATCTCCCGGTTGTGTGATTGTGATCTGTAACATATTTTGCCATTTTCCAACAGAAAACGATCTGATTCCCTTAATGACCATCTTAAAAAGGGTCATAAAATTGAGTCTGTTCACATAGGGCCTCAACTTACAGCTGCAACAACTTGTGACCGAAATCCCAGGCTTCATTGTGGCTGTAAATCGAGGACTACTTGTATATCAGATGTGAAGTACATAGCACCCTAGAGTTTGAAATATTCTGCCATCAAAAAATTGTATTTTATTAAGCAAATATGGTGTATACAAACTGAAGTTAGCCCATTAATATATTCCAGTTATTGCAGAGATCACTGGCACTGCACTCTTATTATAATAGTGACAGATTCATAAGACAAATATTTTAGGATTGTGGTGCAATTATTGCATTTAATTTGTTTTCTAAAAAGTACTTGTCTGAGTATTTTGCACTTGGAAAACACAGTACAAAAGCACAGGCCATAATTATCTACCTATAAAAGATTGTCCAATATTTCAATAACAAATATAAAAGGTGGTTTGGACACCACATGAGTATCTGTTTGCAACTTCTTAAAGCAACCCTGCCTTTTTCTCTGCTGCAGCTCCTACCTTTTAGAACATCTTACCCTACAAACAAGGTCTGCCTCCACCCTCCTATCTTTCTGCAAGAGCCTGAAAACCTGGCTCTCCTGGCTGGTCTGGGATCCAAATGCGGAAGTTTCACACTGGAAGTAACTGCTGGATTGAGGTGGCAGACTCCACCTCATTTTTCCCAGTAGTTGTTAAGTGAATCACACAGCCCTTAAACGAATAGTACAATCATTAAGTGTATTTATTCTTCCAACGAGCGGGTTTTTGTTGACAGAAATCACCCCCCAAAAAACCACACTGGAAATTGTGAAAGTCACAAATCATACTCCCATGATCACAGGTTTCTGCAACTGGTCATACATGATAGTTGACTGCCAAGCACCAGAAATGTGATTACATTGTGGGGGGGGGGGAGAGAGAGGGGGAGAGGGG